TGAATTTGACCACCTCAAAGAACAAAACATAGGCTACTTAGAATCGCTGCCATTGCATATGGACCAGGCAATGAAGGAAAATCTACTGGTTTTAAGGGCTCTATCTGAGAATATGCGCCCAGAGAATGTGCTGGTATAACTAATTCCACATTGCTTCTGCAAGGTAACGTCTTGGGTGAAAATCAGTCCTATTGCATAGTGAAATAGCTGGCCTTATCTAGGCCAAATACCGGTTTTCCATCATCTCTATACTAATACCACTGGTGCTCCACTTATTCTCCTTGGGATGAGTTTTTAGAGCTCTGAGTAATGTAATGCAACATTGCACAACACAGTGTCCCAGTGGCATGCTGTAACTACGCAAACATCTGCTGAACTGAACCCACTCAGGGCCAAATTGGATAGCACAACTGATTAGCTAGAGCCTTTGGGAATATGCTCACAATTTATGTTTGTCTGAGTCACCAGCCCATGTGCAAATCACATTTTTCGTTTTATTTCCTTTTTTTAAGGTGGAGAAAGAGCATTGTTTGGAAAAGTGGTGTCACAGGAGTTTCCTTCTCCCTTCCAACTCCCCAATACTGTTTCTGTCACCAGCTTATTACCAAATTCTATCCAGCTCTGAAAAACCCACAAACTCTGTGCTTTTTGGGGAAAAAAGATGCTAATCAAAAATAAGCATTAAAAAAAAGGATCACAAAACCCTCAGAAATTGCCACAAAGACTTGAGACACAGACCAGTGGAAAAAATGAAAACAAGTTGCCATAAACAAAGAAACTGTACAATTGCCAAAGAACCTGACAATCTTGGGAATTGGACTTGTTGTTTAAAAATAAATTACTCCATTATTTAGGTTTTGATTTCTGTTCTGTTTTGTGTGGCAAACCAATGAACCACCTGTATCCTTTAACGTGAATTTGGCTGGATGCGAGATACACAAAGAAAACTAGCAAAAAGCATTCTTTGTAGTCAGATAAGAGAAAAAGCTTTTACTATTACTGAAACTCCAATCATATTCTAAAACATCTCTCTCAACCTCCTCAAATCATAGACAGCTGGACAATGTTAAAAATTCACATAATTCAAATTCAAACAACTTTAAAGCGAAAAAGATGGGTTTTTTTCCTAAAATTCTAACTACTTTCCAATTATCTGATCTGACTTCTCAATGAGATGGAACCTATCTTATAATCTATCTTTGATGAGAGATAATGACAATTTGCAATGCAAAAAATATCAAAAACAACTGGGGGATTTTCCAGGAAGTATTTAGTTATGATTTCTCAGGGTGCACCAAAATTAACAACATGTTCACATCTTTTTTTAACATGCACCAACCATAAACTGGACTGACCCCATTGAAGTCAGGCCAGTACAAAAGGCTTATAGGAGAATTAGAATCACTTTTACCTCTGTCTCCTCTTTTCTGACTACTGGTTTAACAGTATGTAAAAAGGATAGGGAAGTGTCCACTCTGACAAGGAGTGCCAAGACAGGTGAAACAGATTCCAGCAACAATGAAAATGGCTTTTCAACAAAATCTACTGAGCGTACTAGCACTTGAGAAAGAAGTAGAAGATAAGTTGTTCCTAACTGAAAAAAAACTTGTAGAGGTACTTGGAAGGCCTCAACAACTTATCATTAACACTCATCTGGTGGTTACTCGCACATGTCCCGTTTTGCTGAAGGCACCTAATTAGAAAGTCTGTTTAATCAATGGCAGTTCTGATCATCCTGGTTAGGTATGAGTTAGGCTGAATCACTTGATGGAGACTCCCAACCCTCTCCATTGACTTCACAGCAAAGGTGGGTTGTCAAAGCAGGCAGTATGAATGCCCTCCCCAGAGCATGTGAATTTTTCTTTTACCTACAGCTTTTCAAGAACCACTAACGTAGAGGCAACAAGAACATAAGAATCCAGTCTCCAACTTCACCATTCAGAAACTTACCTAGTTATAGCGAAAAACTAGGTAAGATTTCAGCCTTTACCACTACTACTGGAAGTGCATAATGAATTACTAGTATGGAACTATCATACAGATATTAGATAAATGATTTTTTTTTGCTGGGAAGTGTCAGGTTTATAAACATTTTTCCTTAAACACTCAGTGACCTCAGGAGGCTCTCTATAGAATAAAAGGATCCAAAAGTAATTTTTGCTTTGCTGTAGCATTCACAAACATTGCAGTCACATGACCCTCCACCCATCAAACTCAAGTGCCTGGCATAAGCATGGTTCTTAAAGGAGATTCCAAGTCCGACAAGTATTATCTCCATTACGTACATGCTAGGTAACATGGCCTAAACACACAAAGATTCCATTAACACTTGGATTTAAACAGCAAATATAAGCTACTTAATCCATACCTCAGTGTTCATTCATTTCTGAATAAAACCTGCTTCCATCTGTGTTTCTGCTTTCTGTAGTAGATGTGCTTGGACAGCAAACCTACCATTAGTCCATTTTAACTTACCTGGTTGCCTATGTTTCCTTTGGTGTGCTACAGTATGTGATATTTTGTAGTCCAAAGTACAACATATATTGATCGATAATTTCCACAGGCAAAAGCTTTATTATTATCTATTAAACTAAAAATTATTGTTGTTTTATTTGAGACCAATGACCCTTGTTTTGATGTTCTGGGTTAACACTAAACACAAAAACTAACAGTCTCTTCTAATTAAAAGCTTTGGAAAAAAGAAGTCAATTCAAGTGCATATTCTTTTGCACTTTGATAATACAATAATTACATTTATCAGAAACACATGCTAATTGGATCATTCTGGAGCATTTTTCTCATTGTCTGGTACCGCAAAACACATCTGGGTTTTATTTGCCCCATGTAAGTTAATAAGGGTACGGACTTTTTAAAAACAATAAGCAAGATAATCCTAAAAACAATTTTCCAAAGTGAAAAGGGAGGAAAAAATCCTCCACATTTCATCCAAGACTACGTAAGTGTAAAAATGACTTTAAGATAGAAACTGAAGGACGTTTTCTATCTACTCGGCTATTAAAGAAAGAAAAAGCAAGTTAAAGAAATCTTACTACTATGACTATACATAAGAAACAGTGCAGTTATATCATATTAATAGAACCTAGTAAGGGATGTCTCCCCCACCTACACAGATCCAAATTAGTTTGATTTAAAGTGCCAGTACATTGGCACTAGAAGATGTCAAGCTTCTTCTTGTTACTAAATCCCTAACTCGGGAGAACTGGAAACTTTCAAGCTTTTTGCTGGAGCATAGGGGATGTTGACACCTTCCAGATTTCACTTTACTGGACCAACCCACAGACAGTATGGTGCAAGGGAACAGCAGATGGCTTTTCTTCTGCTACCTCTGCTTCCTAAAGATGAAGCTGAACATTGTTCTTAAACCATGCATATTCAGCTCCCGCTATAAGGAGAACAAGGCTTATTTATATATGTTAAAGCCTTCCATCCCATATTATATTTGTCCCACTCCAGAGCATGTCTGTGTATGTTCATATGATTTGAATTTTAAGTGCCCAGACAGAGAAAAGCAATTTGCTCTGAACTATGGAAAGACATTCAAGTTTTGGTCTTAATGCAAAATAAACGTTGAGCCATTTGATATTATTTTTCCCTTCATCCCCTCCCTCTTAAAAATACATATGACACAAAACAGGGGAAGTGCTGAAAAAAAGGAACCATTTTTTTCCTCTTTCACAACTTACCTTACACTGATTTGGGCTTTGGTATAATTAGAAAAACTACCACAAAACTTTTTTCAATTGATAATGCTCTTTTCAGACCTTACCACTGGCAGAAGTACGAACATTCAGTTTGTGCAGGAGTCCAATGTAAATCCAGCAGGACACGGCATTTCTCCAGGTGGTAAGCAATTTTTGCGCTTGCATTTTACACTTTACATGTGAGGTCACACGTACATAGTTTAATCCCATAACTTTCTTATAGGATCACAGACCTCTATGAAAAAAGACTAAATTTCACCATGTACTAATGGAAGAAAATTACTCTTTAGGAATCTGACAGGAGAGCAACAAAGTTTTTCCATCATGTAATCAAATACTATATAGTTTTCTTTTTCCCAGAGTTTGATGAAAAGACAGAAGCAGGCTTTGATTACACTATTAACTATACAGAACAATGCTATAGAAAAAGTCTCACTGCATTTTACCCACCTGTTTTTGGACATAGATAATGCTCTATTTCTCCTACAGATACTATAAAGGCAGAAAGGACATGCATGGAGAATATAGCGTAAGTTACAAGTGAAATAGGGTATGAGCAATTTAAATACAAATCTTGGAGGAAAAGAAACAGTGATTGACTGGAAAACATTTTTTACTCCCAAACTTATCTGTGCAAGTAAAAGGTATATTGATGAATGTGGGAATAAACAGATAGAAAGATATGAATATAGACCGTTAAATCAACAAAGGGGCATGCAAATAAATAACAAAAAAAGACTGATCAATTATCAAACCAGCTGGGGCCTGATCCTCTTCTCATGACGTAAAATGTAAGTCTAGCATACATACAACTACAGTTGCGTTTTCCAAGGTCATCTGTGAGACATGGGGCTTTAAACCAACATGTAGAAATCACTGTGTCATGTTCTCTGAACTGTGGTACACCCAAGATGAGACAAGACTGCTGTAATGGGCTCTTAAAAGTCTATGAATCAATGAGAATTGGTACAAGGGGAAATCAAGATCCCTCCATCTCAGATTAGAGACCTGGTAAGACCATGGTTCATTTTATTTGCTATAATTGTGTAAATTAAATACTGTTGGAATTTACGTAGTAATTAACATGACACATGATTAGTTCAGGAAAACATTGACCACCATGTCTGAAATATTACTTACAATGCATTCATGGAGGAGGAAATAGAAGAAGAAAAGTTAACCTATTGGGCAGACTGAGATTGGTTATTTATGCTTGTTTCCATATAATAAGGCACTTTCGTTTCAGGAGTAATGCTATGCTGTTCAGAGGCACATGTGTTAAAGTTGAGATACACTTACAAAGTAGCCTGTTCCCAAGCTGGAAGGAGCTGAGCTCTGCAATAAAACACAAAGACAAAGTGGAAAGTCAGTGATGGTTTTTAACACGTTCCAATCCACATAGCTCATTACCAGCCCTTTCCAAGCTTTTCATCACTACATCACAGCACCAATGTGCTGCCCCTTGTCATCTGCTACTGAAACAAACACGGTGTTGCTTAATTTTTCCCTTTACATCTCTCAACGACTCTGAGATGGTAACGTGCTATTTACTGAATTCCAAGCTTCTGCGGTGGATGTAATTGCCAATTTATTTGACAGGCAGCTGGGTAATGAATTAATGATGGCATTTCTCCCTGCACTGAGACTAAACAGACACTCATCAACCAGCCTCCCTGACATGCTGACATTCAATGCCCTGGACTCCAGCTACTCAGCTTTGTGGCCACAAAGGGGCAGGCGGGAGGGGGAAAAGAAAAAAACATAGACTGACTTCAAAACAAAAAGCCCGGTGGGTTTGGATGACTTTTTCAGTGTATGACCTGTTTGCCAATTTATTCCCGAAAGGCCCTGGTTAGTACACACATAGTGCTTTTCTAAAATGAGACATTTTGTAAACATAATTAGTAGTCTGAAATGTAAAGAACGCGTGGGCACAGAGAAGCCGCTTCAGTCAATGTACCATTTCCTGGAGAACGCAGTCACTACAATTTCCCATTTGGATGTCCACATTGTTTGACAAACCAAGGATTTAAAAAGAAAAGAAAAAACAAACAACAAATATCTACAGTGTGAAACAGATTTCAAAACTCAAACCCATAAAAATAATTAAAACTAATATTACTGCCATGGAAAATCATCAAAAGGTTTAAATGCTTAAAAAAATGCATCATGAAATTCAGTTTAAGTGGGACACGATCACAACCTCTACATTCACAGGAATTAAGGAGATAAAGGGTTTTGTTTCATTAGTTTTTCATCTAAGCAATGGGGATTACACAGCAGGTTCTCTTAGAGACATGGTGAGAGACCTAAACATCTCAGTCCTAATCCAGGTCACTGGCTGTTACATTAAAGGGTGAACAGTTCCCAACGCTACAGCCCTATCACCTGAAACACTTCAAGCCAGGCTAGTTCGTGGACTAGGAAGCAAAACGCAGAGCATAATTCTCTGGTGAGCAGTGGGTAGTCCAGATGACCAGTCTTTAACTCCTGCTTCTCAATTCCCGTCTCTGTTCCTTAGCACAAGCTCACTTTCAGTAATGACACAGCTCAGTGATGACCAGGAACTGCACAGGGGCCCCAACCAGCCTTGGCAAACCACTGGAAACACGCAGAATTTGCATCACTCTCATCCCTGTTCTGAGACACTATTGCAGGGAACCCGAACAGCAATTTCTCTCTATTTCTGATCATGGAGTGCGGCACTGACATAAAAGAAAATAAACCCCCACAAGGGGCTTATGGTATCTTTTTACTGAACTCGGCACGGCAGAAATAGATTGTGCCAAGAAATTTTAAATTAACAACAAAATTCATCACAAATAATCAGAATATTACTGTGTGTTCACCAAAGCACTACTAGAAAGGGAGGTTTAGAGAGGTTACATATGAGGTACATATGGGGAAGGCCTTCTGGTTTAAGACATTAGAAGTTAAAAGACTCAGCATGAGGAAATCACCTCAGTAGTCATAAGGGTACCAATATCATAAGATCAACAAACTCTGTTGGGACATCTTATATGAACAAACAAAACTGCTATGGAAATTTGGAAGGTATGTGGTTCCTGCCCCTTAATGTTCTCTATCTTATATGTTGCAGCTACTGAAGGACTCGAGATCTGCAGTCTACAGTTTTGGTTAGCAGCATGCAAGGGAAGGTCCACAAAAGTAAATACGTTCCTAAGTCCTTCTGGCCCCACTCCTGCTGCCTCAAGCTTCCTCTGCCACCACCATCCACAGCAAGACCCACCTGGTCCCAGTGACGATGTCCCTGAAAGCGCCTCTGCAGCACTGTGGTGCAGAGGAATGGGCAGTGCAGATTTGGGAACACATGGCCATGGGGCCCCTGGGCTCAGCCCGACTGCTCTGCTTTCCTCTACATCCCCATGACCATGCAGCTGGGAATAACCTGGTAACCGCCACAGCCCCAGTTGTCACACAGCCTGGCTACTGTTTCCAGCTAGAAATTCCCCTTCATGGGCCACACACAATGGTTTTTTGAGCCACTGAGGCTCTGCAACACCTGGTAGAAAGCGCATTTCAGCACACTCCGGTTTAGTATCTAATGCGTTTACTTTCCTGGTAAAGCACATCATATATACTGCCTTTCACTTTACTCATTCTGTTTTCTTCTTCATGCCATTTAAATTCTTTTAATTTAAGCTAGACATCTACCCACAAAGTACAACACGTGCATTCATTGTAACCGCTTTTGTTTAAGCTATGTATAAATGCCAATCGAGTCCCATTCTTTCACTCACAATTTTTAAAACTTACTTTACAGGCTGAAAGCTCCAAAGTTTGCATTCTGCATCTGTGTGTAGTTTTTGTCTGCTTTTTATTCCAAGTTTTGGAAGGATCAAGTATCAAAACAAAACAATAAAAAGGAAGAAAAAAGAATAAGCAAACAAAATATTTCCCACTGAATATTTCCATTCCTTCAAAAGCAATGCTGCAATGGCTATGGGAGGACAGTCGAAACACAGCAGTCAAATGACTTTCACTGAAAAGAAACAACTGTGCATTTTCAGGGAATTTGAGTTTGCTGGATGGAAATATAGCCCTTCACACATTGCATGCTGCATATGGATAGTACAGTTTGCAAACTTTTTAATTGAAGTAAGAAAGACTGTATTGCACATGCATGAATGACTAAGTCAGCTGTGTTGTGAACTGTGTGTTGACAGAGCATATAGGCTGAAGCAAGGGCTATGCAAGAAGACAGCTTCTCACCTTTTTTTGATAACTCCCAATAGCGAAAGGATCCTACTACCCAGTGCCCAGCCTTGGTACCAACTGATGAATGTGATACTGTGTATGCAGCATCTTTACAAGCCCATGCTGAGTCGTGATCCTGCACTGGATGGTTCTACATCTCTTATATAAAGTGTGCCTATAATAGAGGTAATGGTTTCACTTTCCAAAACCCTTTGCAAAATTCGACATTAGATATACTATTTGATATTCACACAACCACCAGCAGAAGCCTGCATCAGGTGCCCATCAGTAAAATGCAAGTCACTTGCTTAAAATTAACAGGGTTTTGGTTTTGTTATTTTCCTTCTGCTTTTTTTACACCCCCCCCCTTTTATTTTTTCCTTCCTTTCTTAAAAAGAAGAACTTTTGGCCCAGAAGCAAAAATGTAGTAACCCTCATGTAAGCATTAGTTTATTGTGTACCAAAGAAAATTACATCCTTGAGGTCTTGGAAGGCACAGTTATACCCATTTTGCATACATATTGTGCATTACTTGGGGAGCTGGGTGGGGAGAAAGACTGTGTTGTACATATTTGTTCTGGCTATTGTTTATGCAGGTCTGACTGAATGAAGGAACAGTGGGTATCATTTCAATTTCTGATGTCAACATCAAATTACTTATTTAATTTCATGCCTGGCGAAGCATTGTATAGCTACACGCAGAATCATTTCACTTCATTTGTTATGCTGTGTTTTCTTGGCGATTGGCTTGCCTTCCAACTGACAGCTTTAATTACGACATGAATTTGATTGCACTGCCGAGGAATTAACATAATGCAACAAAGCATTTAAGCACCCAACCTTAGACACACAAACACACACATACACACCCTCGTGTACACACACACACACAAAGAAGCAGCCACTGCAGCTGATCACCTTCTGGCACACACACACAAACACACGCAGAGCTTTGCTGGTGTTATTCCACTTTAGATACAGCCAAGATTTCCTTCTCCGGAATATCCCCGGTAAAGTACTAAGAATTTCAGAGCACATAACTCAAAGATTGTTCCTCAATGTGTCTTTCTTTGAGATCAGTACGCAGGTGGGAGGAATGGGAGACAGAGAATTGAAAATATCCCATATTTGAGGCCAAAACCGTGAGCTGTCCACAGGATTACACTACTGGGGGTGTAGATACCTTTCTTCCCAAAGCAGACAGCAATAGACCTGGTGGGCAGGGCACTCCAGAACTTACTCCTCATTTGATACCTCACTGTAATCTATTCCCAAGTGCAAGGTACACAATGCAGTAAGAGCACACAGCTACAAAGCACTGGGGAAAGGGAGGCACTCATGAAGGAGTGTGTCAGCTTTGCTGAGAGCCCAAGACGAGACCTTTCATGTAGGGGACAAATGGAAAGATTCCTGTCCCACTCCCCGTTCAAGAATTGGAACAATATTCCTGACAGAAAGATGCCAGCGGTATTTCTCCCGGCTTGTGATTCCTTGTTCGGCAAAAGCAAGCAGAGGCCAGGCAGTCCACACTTCTGTTGTGCCGCAAGAGCGGGAGACCTGTGCTGCCTCCCAGCCAATGACCACATGTGAGAGGCTTTTGCTATTCATCCCCTCACTGAAAGCCTGCAACCAACACCAGAAGCAGCAGGCAGGGCTGAGGGTGCCCAAAGCAGCTTGTCAGCCCTCTCCTATCAGTGCAGGCTTGCACTGCTACTGCATTGCCATTACTGAAACAATGAACAAGGTTTGTTTCACAGACATCAGATTTTAACAGGACTAGCAATGACTTTACAGCTGAGTGTGAGCCTCAGTTCTGTGGCGGATCAGGAATTTAGGAATGTGCTCCAAAGAAATCTGGTTTTTTGTCTGTTTTTGATCAGCAAACAGGTGGCTCAACCCCTAAACACTCTGTGCATTCACCATCCAGGTTAGCTGTAATTCTCACATTTTCCTCAAGTAATCCCCTGGCTACTTTGTAAAACGTGGCTAAAAAGTACCCCATGTATTCCAAAGTGGGAAGACTCAATTAAAAATAAATACATACAGAAAGGTAAGGAAAAGAAGCTGACTGAGCTCCAAGCTGGGGAAAAGAGAAAGCGCTGCCATCTTGTCTCCAAGCAAAATCTCAACAAAATGAATTCTACTACTGGCAAGATTTTGATGAAATTAAATTGACTACAGCACCCTATATATAAAGGAGGAGCAGCTCTCCAATTTCTCCTTTAGGCCCCTGGAGCTACCTCTGCCCATAAAGGAAAAAACAAGTTGTCATTCCAAAAAATCCTATATAGGGGAGAAAGGCAGAGAGAAATGGGTTTATGAAATTCAAACTGGGAGATGTATTAGGGCACTGTCAAACGCTTGCAATGGAGCATTCCAGCAATCATTATCCCTAATCTAGCAGAGGTCAAGTTCTCTGCTAATTATGTTCTCTCACAGAGGGGTGTGTGCATGTGTGTACACGTGTGCGAGATGAGGACAAAGAAAGGAGTTGATGGAAATCAGTCTCACTGCATTACATCTGACAAGAACATAGGATATTCCTCTTCCTACTGTCTGAGGCTATTTCAAGCCTCATTATGAGAAAAGTCTCCTGTTTAACACGGTCTTTTCATTGAATTATCTTCTTTTCATTTTTGACCACCTCTCTCGCAAATGCTGCAAATTACCTGCTTGGATCTCATTAGCCTGGAAAGGAGTCATCCCTTGTAAACACACTTTGAATCAATCTGTGTTATTCAAGGACTGTAGGTACATTTACAATATGCAGAGTTGAAAGATATCTGACAGGAGAGGGAATGAAGCCACTGACACGTCAGTTTGCAACTGGATATTCATTATACTATCTCCCTCATTCTGCACCTGTCACTAAGCTATCACTTAGGCTCCGCATTAAAGCTCATGAAGCTAACATTTCTGTTTCAACAGCTTACTTACAACCAGGGATTTGAAAATTGATCATCCACCTACAGTATATGCACTTCATTCATTATACATATTTCCATGCAGTAGCCATGCTTAATCTCACAATGCTGTCAGGCTACGTCAGTGGAGATTCTTTACATTTCATGTCCAAAATTTGCTTTCTGACCTCAGGGTTAATCTGCCTGCGATATTTTATATTTTTATCTTCTATTGAGTACACAACTTTTTGTGTATTTCTTCTGAGAAAATAGTGTTAAAATCAGAAAAGGATCTTCAGAGAAATCTTACTCTTCTGTCTGTAGTTTTTTCTGGACAGTAATTGGTAGATATCATTAGACAACTCACTCCTTCAAAAGGTATTATTTAAAATAACCTTATTAAGCTCTTGACGCATCTTCGTGCATAAGAGGACAGTTCAAGGTGAGCTCACCCGTAACTGGAAGTGGAAGTATCGCTACCACTTTGTAAGGCCCTGTCATTTAAAAACATGGAGTGTTTGTCTTTGGGAGAGAGAGCAGTGCAGAACGGTATTTACATCTCTTAAGTGAGTCTGGGAAAGGCCACCACACACTCAGGCAAGATCAGAGTTATCTCGTGCATGTTTTTCAAATCTCAGCTGAACTGGCAACACCAGACCACAGGGAGACATGCTTGTATTGCAATGATTTGCAATGATCAAAGCATAAAGGAACTTACTTATTAAGCAACTCATAAATTATGTATAATGATTTTTAAATATACATTTTCACATATATTTACATAACGTTCCTTTTGAGCAACCTGTGAATCCCTATGTCCTCTCTCAGGTGCACTAGGGAAGTTATATTTGCTCTCCACTTCCTTTAATTCACCATAGTGCCAAGACAAAGGGAAAGTTTTGTAAAAACATCAGAGAAAAATTGTATTTGATTGGTGGAAGGGGAACCAGGACTCCGCTCTCACTGCCAGGTCTGGCACTGCAACACTGTGAGCTGCTGGGAAGCTCAAATAAGCCTCAGAACTCTCCACTCAGTACATTGCAAGGGAGTGACAAGTCTAAATTAAAACCATGTTTGTAAGGAGCTGTGAAATTTTTTGCTGGAAGGTGCTGTGTAATTGGGAAGTTCGTTGCAGTGACTTCTCAGCTGCCACAGGGCTCAGACAAGCTAGGATGGCAACGGTGACAGGCTGACGGTCAGCTGCCATCCACTGCTACCTGTACAGGGCATTTACTTACTATCTCCTCTGGTTTCACCCTCCTCTTCCAAAGATATCTTACAGCCCTGAGATTGACCTCACCTGACGGCTATGAAGGGCTGGCTCTGAAGTGTCTAACTGAATATGCCCATAAAGGTTGGCTCTGGGGGAGGAATGGACCTCTAAAATAATGTGACAAAGGGATGAGGAAAGAGAGTGCTACAGATTTCACACCTTCACAGGAAAAAAAAAAAAAATCAGGCAGCTGTTCCAGTGATACGCACAATTCAGCAAAAATTGCTAGCTGTGTGCCTTCAGGCTTAAATTCGCACAACAAAACGTATCCTTTACAAAGGTATTTCTTTTAATGTCTGCTCAATTCGGTTTTATTGGATTGGCCTATAGAGGACACCATCTGGTATCTGTCATCCAAATCTACATGGACATGCTATCAGTAAAATCCCCATTTCCAAAATGTGGGTTAGTTAAAAGTAGGGCCAGATTGCTGGCTGATACAAATAGGTCTGACTGATGTAGCTATCCATGCTTTTACCAGCAAAGGATCTGACCTACAAAATCCCCAATTTAGATACTCTTTTGGGACAGGGCTGTCTTTATATTGTGTGTTGTAAAGCATGTAGCACAGAGGACCCAGAGCCATGAATAAAACACTCAAGGATTGTGATGGTACACATAATAAAGAGTAACGTAATTGCAGCAACAGAAAGATTTCTGTAGTCATTCCTATGCCGGAATAATTCATGCATATCATTCAGTGAATGGCCAGCATCCTTCAATGGAGAAAAACATCCTCCACAGAGCTGCCATCTTAGGACCTTCCACAGCAGTTTAGGTAGAGCAATAAAGGCAGAGCTTATGCTATTGTTGGCCATGTTATATCAATTCATTATATGTAAATTATCTGAGTCTCTCTAGACACTCTAATACTTTTCATAAAGACAGTATTTAGCCCAAAGAAATGCATTCTTTTCCTTCCCCGCTTGGGGTAAAAAGAGGCCAATCTCACTTCTCAACTATGCAGGGCATTTTAACTTCATTAAATGGCCTTCAACTATTTCAAAACAAATGGGTGTTTTCACACAGACAGACATTGTACCAAACTTTAAGAAGTTTACTGAACTGGGACAGGAGACCTAATTACCTCTTCCTCTCCCACCCCCCAAAGGGAAGGGGATTTTAGCAAGAAACCATCCCACAGACTATATCCTGTTATGACTTACACCCCTCAGAAAACTGCACAAGGGGTTAATCAGAGCAGTATTTGGCTGCAGGAGTTTTACTTACGTCACTGAGTCTTTCCCGAGAGCTACTTCGATGGAAACCTTTCAATTCCCCACTGGCGCTTTCACTGTCACTGTCTCGGCAACTGTTTTGACCTGGCTTGAGCTGCAAGAGAGAGAAAAAGCAAAGAGAGCAAGAGTTTAGCCTGGTTCAAGTAAGTCCACTTATCCACTGCTGTTCTTTAACCCATCCCCACATCTACACAAAGTAGCATTTACGTGGTGCCTGAAGCACTGCCACTGGCACGGTGCAGCCTTGGTGCCAAGGCAGCATCTCAGCAAGACCATGAATGCAGGGAGCAAGCAAGCCCACATGCACGACAGCTCGCGTGTGGGCCGAGACCCTGCAGGTAGAGGGAGGCAACATTCATGTCCCAAGGAAATCACAATTTAAGACCTTCATTTTGGGAACTGTCAGACTTTTCAAGTTATTTATGCCATAGATGCAGTTTTTAAAGTTACCATCACATCGAAGCATGCGCAGAATCAATCCCTCCCTCATTACAGCTTAGAAGTTTGAGGATCTAAGAACAATGGAAATCTCCCCAGGGGAAGGTGCAGCCATCACTCCAGGGAGGCCTTTTGCTGGACTAGCCCCTGACAACATTGCCTGGTACTATAAAAAATTCTTGACTAATCTCAATGTTCATAAAACAACATGATCTACTTAATAGGCATCAGATTGGTTTTGCCTTTCAAACCAGCTGTAATGAACTTTACTGGCATTCTAATAAATAAAAAATATTTAAAAAAATTACAAACTATATTTTCAATACAGTTGAGAACATATCTGCTTTCTCTGATGCTGTAGATTGTGCAGGTCAACATGTTACAACAGCAGCATACTGAAATGAACATTTACGATATACATACATTACATACATGTCCACAAGCACATACACATATATACGCCAAGCGGGAGATATGAACTACATCTACGGCAATACTGAAAATGTATATATTTGTTTTAATGT